GGCATATAGATTTGTAGTAATTGAGCCAAATAGTTTTATTTCGGTTAATACTGTCATTGAATCTAGAGATGCTGTATTTGATGAAAATAGGTTCACTTCAATTCCTAGACCTAAAGACTTAGTTGTTAACACCCCGTTGGAACAAGCTAGTGAAGATCCACAAGAAGTTAGGCGAACTAAAAGGATTAGAAAGGCTAAAGATTTTGGACCAGATTTTGTAACCTTTCTAGTGGAAGGATCAAGAGAAACAATTTGTGATTCTGTTTCTTTATGTCTAAACATAGAGGATGACCCTTTGACTTTCAGTGAGGCTATGAAGTCTCCTGATGCAGCTTTTTGGAAAGAAGCGGTAAATGACGAAATGGATTCGATCATGGGTAAGAAAACCTGGAAATTGGTGGATCTTCCACCAACTTGCAAACCAATTGGTTGCAAGTGGATTTTCAAAAGAAAAAGAAAATTCGATGGTACAATCGAAAAATTCAAAGCACGATTGGTAGTGCAAGGTTTTACACAAGAAGAAGGGATTGACTACTTTGATACCTATGCTCCTGTAACTAGGACAAGTACAATTAGGATGCTTCTTGCTTTAGCTTCTATTCATGGTTTGATAATTCACCAAATGGATGTAAAAACTGCTTTTCTAAATGGTGATTTAGAAGAGGAGATTTACATGAAACAACCCGAAGGGTTTGTTGTTCAAGGACAAGAGCACAAGGTCTGCAAGTTAAATAAATCCTTGTATGGACTAAAGCAGGTACCAAAACAGTGGCATCAAAAATTTGATGAAGTTGTTCTTGGGTACGGTTTTTCCATTAATGATGCTGATAAATGTGTTTACACAAAGTTTAATGGAAATAAGGGTGTCATCATATGTCTTTATGTTGATGACACGTTGATGACATGGTACTGACCTTGATGAGGTTGAAAATACCAAAGGATTTCTATCTGAAAATTTTTCCATGAAGGACATGGGAGATGCAGATGTTATTCGATCTTGGAATAAAAATTTCAAGGAATTCTAATGGATTGTGTTTGTCTCAATCTCATTACACTGAAAAGGTGTTAAGGAAGTTTGATAACTTTGATTGCAAACCTGTTTCTACACCTTTTGATCCGAGTATTAAGCTCACAAAGAACAAGGGAACTCCAATCTCTCAATTGGAGTATGCAAGAGTAATAGGTTGCCTAATGTATGCTATGACATGTACAAGACCGGACATTGCTTTTGTTGTTGGTAAACTAAGTCAGTTTACAAGTAATCCAAGTGATGCCCATTGGCATGTTGTAAGAAGGGTGCTTAAGTACCTCAAGAAAACAATTAATTTTGGATTATGCTTTTGTGGTGATCCTTCAGTTTTGGAATGCTATTTGGATGCTAGTTGGATTACTAGTAGTGATGATTATGCTTCCACAAGTGGATGGATTTTTACTCTTTGTGGGGGTGCTATTTCTTGGGGGTCCAAGAAACAAACTTGCTTGGCAGATTCAACTATGGCTGCTGAATACATAGCTTTAGCTTCTTCGGGCAAAGAAGCGGAATGACTAAGAAATTTTTTATATGGTATGCCCTTGTGGTCAAAACCTATATCACCTATCTCAATTCATTGTGATAGTGAAGCAACATTGGCAAGGGCATATAGTCAAGTTTACAATGGTAAATCAAGGCATATTGGTTTACGTCATAGTTATGTTAAAGATCTTATTCAAGATGGTGTCATAACTGTGGATTTTGTGCGCTCAAGTCAAAATTTGGCCGATCCTTTGACTAAAGGACTTGCAAGAGATTTGGTTAATAAAACAAGTAAAGGGATGGGCCTAAAGTCCATTGTGATCACCAATGATGGAACCTCAACTTGACACTCGTGATTACCCTCGAGTCTTAAGTTCAATGAGTCAAAGTACGTTATTTGTGTGGTTGAAGAGCACTAATCATTGTATTTTTCATCCCGATAATTATAATGCTTGTATTAGTTCCCATTTGTATTAAAGTAGGGTGAGCATAGCTCTTAATAAACTTCTAATAGAATTTATTTGAATTGTAATATAAGTATTGTAATATTTTATTATAATGTGTGCTTATATATTCAAATATTTCTATTATAATACTTTAATGGGAGTATTGTGAAGTTTACCTAAGTGAGCGTAAAGTTTGGCCGCTTTAAGGAGTTTTAGGACTTTTAACTCCGAGGCGCTCATGATTGGATACATGACACATTGTTAGAACAAAAACTGGAGGAATGAACAAGAGGGACCGGATATTTCTTCTAGGCACGTATCATAGCCGGTTTCCTAATAATTTATTATCGACCCTCTACGAAACAACAGGGTTAACACGATATAATTATTGGGATACAAAGAAGAGACAATTGATTTTGGTTGTTTATCAAAATCAATCTACAAAAAGTTTGTGTACAAGTGTTTGTAAAACCAATTAAGAGAAAATGCTATATATCAAATTCTCTCAAAAGAAGCAAGTTTTTTTTTTTATAATCTCTTTTTCTCATCCTTTTTTTCTTCATATATGTCATACAAACTCCTATTTATAGAGTTTATATGAAGAGTAGTTAATTAATATCCAACGGATATGTCCGTTCACAAAGCAATACGTTCAAAACTGTCAAAAACCGTCAGTTTAGAACTCCGCCCGGTCAAACCGGGCAATTGAGCCCTACCGGGCGCGAGCAACATCTCAATGAAATTGAGATAATTGACAATTTTTACTCGTACTCGCCCTATTTGCCCTGGCAGCCAGGGCAAAGCACAAATTAGTCAATTTTGCCTTGTATTGTCACTTTAATACATATTGCTTTGCCATACCTCTAAGTATAATCATTATGCTAATCCTCCTCAACACCTAGCATAATATAAACTTCATATATGAACTCATAAGCACATTTATCTATAAGTGTTCCAACACACATGGCCTTTTTAAATGTGTCAGCTCTTTACTAGATTTTAAGGGGATTGAAATCTTGTGTGTAATTTGGATTTAATTAGTCAAAGAGGATCACTGGTTCAAAGCATAGTCTACCATGTCATCCTGACTATTTGAAAATAAATTTACTAAGTAAAGGTTCAATCGTAAGACACTTTTATTTGGAAATGGTGGGGGATTGTTGGAATATTTCCAATAATAATGTTATGTGTGAGATGTTATCCCACATGGAAAAAGTAAGAAGGGAATGTATTGTTTATATTGTAAACAATTAGATATGAGTTATGAATTGGGCTAAGTGGTGTTTTTGGACAAGTGGGCTAAGTGGCTTATATATATTTATAATCAAAGACTTAGCACTTAGGCACTTGACACGGACACAGAAATTAAAAGCCTAATACGATAATTAATTTTTGTCGGTTTATTTTGAACTCTGATTATTTAATTATATATTATTTAATATTTAATCAAATGTAAATTGAACAGTTACAATTATAATAACTGCTCATTCTTATCTTTTCGGATAACTGCCAATATTTGATCTATTTAAGATCAATTATGGATGAATGGACGTTCATCCTGTTCTTCTCCTCTTTTCTCTGTTTTCCCCAAAAACTCTAGGGTCTCATGATCGTTAGTACTAAACGCTCTTGAGTGTATATCTTTGTATCCCAAAAACGTGTTCATCATAGCCTTGTTAGTACGGTGGGGCGAATAACGTTTTTAGAAAAGTGTTCTTCGTACACGCCTAGATCCATTATTTGTTTTTATTGTTCCAATCAATTTTTCTACCAACACAATATTGAGTTAAGCTCGTTACTCTTACAAAGTACTTGTATTAGATGTTGATGATGGTTTCAGGTTACATCAAATATAAAAATCATGTGGCATATGCAAAATACATAATACCAAGGATCATTTCTGCTAGAATGGATTCCAATATTATGTCTTCAAGTCTTAGCTTTCTGGAGTGCATTTCTAGGCTTGACAGTTTGCATAGCTTGCTGTTTTCCAGCCACTATATGCTCTGCCATGCCATGCTTATTTTTGACAGTTTCAGTTAAGGAATGCACGCCGTGGTTTACTTGCTGAATAACAAACATGGATATATTTGTAATTCATGAAGACCTTCCTGGATATACATACACAATTTTATTTTATTTTATTTTTTTTATTTTTTGTGTTCTATCCGGTTCACCCTTTGGGCTAATCCGGATTCAGGGATCAGTTCTGGGTGGTTAGGTTCCAGTCACCTCCCAATTGTTGTTGCGGGGGTTTGAACACGGGTCCTCCCTACCAAGTGTAGTCCCAGTCACCACTACACCAACAGCCAATTGGTGGATATACACAACTTTTTTGCTTGAAATTTGTTAGTATTTTGACATTCAAGTATCACTACTCAGGTTTGCATGCTGCTTAGCTTGATTGTGCTATGCTTGATATGTGACCTTTTGAGTTGTCTGTTGGTTTTCGATCCTTACATTACTGTTTTTTTTTTTAATATAATTTATTGTACGGAGTATATGATTTAGATACGAAGTAAAAGTTAACATTCGACATTTCATGTTGTTGCTTGTCAACTCTGTATTAAAACTTCTGTCACAAAATATCAATATCTACTTCAAACCTTCCATTTTGATTTTATATATGAAGTACAAGTATATATTATATTACATCTTAAATGCAACATACTATAACGAACATTAATCTTAACAGGACATAGATAGTAGAAGGATTAAATCGCATTTATAATTAGGTAAGCGGATGACAAAATAATGAAATCAACTAAAATAGAAATATTCCTTTCATGTGATTGCTATAGTATCAAATTATAGTAGTGATCATGTGTTAGTTTTTTGTTACATGCATCAAGTATGTGTTACATTAATTAAATAAGTTGCGTGTGATTAGCTGTACGTTGAACCAGCTAACTTCATTTTGATAACTTATTATTTATAAATAAAATTATGACAAAAGCGCGAAGCCCAACCAAGAGAAAACACGTGCTAGGATGTGTCATTGCCAACTGGTAAGTATGTTTAGACATAAGAATTAAAAATATTTAAGCAGTATAAACTACAAACTTGAAGCTATCTGTTTTCTTGAAGACTTTATGCTAAAATTGTAATGAAATTTAAGCTACATTAATAAAAGGAGAGAAAATGGTGAAAAAGGAGGGAAATGAAGGAATAGAAGGGAAGACAATAGTAGTGACTGGTGGTTTGGGGTTCTTGGGTGCATCTCTTTGCTTAAAGCTAGTTCAAAAAGGCGCTTTCGAGGTTCGATCCCTTGACGTTCGTATATCTTCACCATGGTCTTCTCTACTCTCTCAAGCTGGTGTTGTTTCTATTCTTGGTATGAACTAGATCTCTCTCAATTATTGTATTGAGTGTGATGTTATAATTTTAATATATATTGATGAGCGTTAGTATTTTGATTAGAGGATATATACTACCTCCGTTTCTTATTATGTGCAACAAAGGAATATTTTATGTCTCACAAATAATATCCCTTTGTTGCACATAATTAGAAACGTAGGTAGTATATATATATATATACACACTCTAAACTTATTTTAGTAAGAGTTGCATCCTTTTGACTTTTTTAATTAGGAAAGTTCGTGACCTCCTTTGTATGTTTAATTTTGTTACTCGCGTTGTTTCATACTTTCATAATACTGTATTGTAATTCGTCTATGCCATTTAAAAGTCAAACTTTGGTCATTCTTCATGGGTTACTTTTAAACAAATTTAAATATTATACACGCGTACAGGCACACATATTTTTGATGTATAGTAAATTTTTTTATATTAACGATGGCATTTGGTATACATGAATCTAATAAAGTCATCAAATCAGTAGGTATCCTATGTTAAATCATAAAAAATATGAGTTTCTTGATATACAACTGCTATATACTCATATATATACTATATAAGTAAATATAACACATGCATATAATATTAAGATCTACAAAAACTTAATATAGAAGTGATAAGAGTATATAAACCGATCTTGGGCTTCAACGGTTTATATACTCTATCAAGAAGCATGACCAGCATCTTATTACTAATATCTATGTACAGATTACAGAGTAGTATACTTGCTTATAATAAGTTGCAGGTATGATTTATATGTACAATGTCTATGTACCCGTTAAATTAGATCAGCAATGCACCTGTTTAATTTGTCTCTAATTCATTTAGTAGTCTAATAATAAGGCTTGGTGATATTTGATAAGGAACTTGGATTAGTGATCGCTTTGTGTTTACAGGGGACATTACTTGCAAAAAGGAAGTCGAAAAGGCTCTACAAGGGGCAGATTGTGTCTTTCATATCGCTTCTTATGGTATGTCAGGCAAAGAAATGCTTCGGACTGCTCAAATTAATAAGGTTAATATTGATGGTACTCGGATTATACTAGATGTCTGTCTGAAATTTGGGATCAAGAGGCTTGTCTATCTGAGTACTTGCAATGTTGTGTTTGGAGGAAAGGAGATTGTGAACGGAGATGAAAACCTGCCTTATCTGCCTCTAGGTGACTACTGCGATCCATATAGTCGTAGTAAAGCTATTGCCGAACAGCTAGTCCTCAAGTACAATGGCCGTCCATTCAGGTGATCACAGAATCTCCTATCCTGACTTTACTTATGAGGCACAGCATGCATCTATAATGCAAGGATTTGCTAGCTTGTACAGTTAACTGCCTTCTGCTGCCTCTACCGTGAATACTCCTGTCTTGAAATGATTAGATTTACACTTTTTAGGATGTCCAAAAAAAGTATCACAATTTCAAGTATAGTAATGATTTATGATCGGATTTTCTAATGTGCCATTAATGATAGAAAAGAACAACAAACTAACATAAAAGGTATTTTGTAAAACCTAACCATATAATATGAGATGTTGGGATAATATGACCTCTAATTTCAGACAGGGGAAGTACTTGCCTACATGGTGATTTCAAAGTTTCAGTATTCACCCTCATACATAGGAACTAATGTCAAATCTTTGCTTCGGGTTAAGCGATTTGCAAGTTTGTACAGGCATGTGTTAAAATGATTATACCTCACATCTAATGCCTTTACATTGATAACCAGGGACAATGGCGGAAATTTTTACTCCTGTGCAGTTCGCCCTGCTTCTATCTATGGCCCAGGTGAAGACAACATTTTCCCAAGGATAGTGAATTGTGCAAAATTAGGTATGCTGCTATTTAAAATTGGAAATGCAAGTGTGAAAACAGACTGGGTCTATGTAGATAATCTTGTAAGTGGTCTTCTGTTGGCAAGTATTGGGCTTTTAGACGAGGTTTCTGGGAGAGAGAGGCACCCTATCGCGGCTGGACAGTCTTATGTCATCTCAGATGGTACTGTGTACTTTTTTTTTTTTGCTAGTAATTATATTACATTTCAGGTATCCTCTTTAATTGACTCTTTCAGAGAGGATGTTCTGCTATGGAGTCAGTTCTCTCCTAGTTTATCTGCATAATTTATGTCTAAATAAATTTATATGATTTTCCACTAACAGGGTCCCCATCTAATACTTTTGAGTTCATTCGACCTCTGTTAGAAAGCCTGGAGTATGGCGTGCCAAACGCCTCATTGACTGTACCTTCTGCTCTTGTGTTCGGAAAGATATGTCAGGTTTTCTATACCATTCTATATCCATTGCTCAGCATCTCATGGCTTCCTCAGCCACTAATCCTTCCTGCTGAAGTGTACCAGGTATTAATCCCTTATCCTTCCATTTCTGCAGCATATTTGCAAGAGTACATCACAATTGCTAATATGCAAATTAAATGATGTGACAGATTGGTGTATCACATTACTTCTCATTGCAAAAAGCTGAGGAGGAGTTGGGATATTTTCCCGTTGTGAGTCCACAGGAAGGCATGGAGACCATGATTTCGTATTGGAGAGAAAGAAAGAGGCGAAATATAGATAGTCCCAAGTTATATGCATGGCTTTTTTGTGTGTTTGGGTTGTCTGGTCTTTTTATAGTCAACTTCTTACCAGATATCGGTCCTGTGACGCTTCTCAGAGCCATTGCTCTTCTCATCTTCAGATCAATGAGGAAAATCCGGATAGTATCGTGCATTGTGGCAACTGCACATATATCTGAGGCCATTTTTGCATGGTTCCTAGCGAAAAAGGTTGACCCTGCGAATGCAAGAGGCTGGTTTTGGCAGACACTGCTTCTTGCAACATTCTCATTGCGTCTTCTGTTGGCTAGGGCAGGACCTTTAAGCTAGGGTGTGACCTCTTTGTAAAGATTGTTTTACTTTAAATTTGTTGCACTTATATACAGATTACTTTTCCTACAGTCGAAAACAGATTCAGAGAAAACATATTTTAGGATTACTGACAAGGTTGCTAACATATTTTCTGTTTCCCTTGATTTTCATAGGCTTACTGAGTTACTGTTTTCGGCTTTGGATTGAAATTTGTAAAGCATAAGTGGATCAGCATTATTAAAAGTAGGATGGAAAAATGAGACAAAGAGCTAGATAGACAAGGGAAACATAAATTACAGGATCACACTCTGATTTAAGCATCATTATGATTAATATCCAAGTATATAAAGATTATAACGAGTCTCGTCAAAGTGAGGTATCAAGAGAATTGCTGACTATCATTATGATGAAGGATCAAACTGCAATAAATAAATAATAATGTTTAATTAAACATCAGATCAAAGAATAGTGACCTGAATCCCAATCTAATACCCTCTCCTGAGAGCATGAGCTACACTTCGACCTAGACTAGTAGATCTTAAACCTATGGGCTGTATCATCTATAACTAGTAACTACTCACTCTCCTGTCAGTCAAGTATGACAATAAAGAGAGTACTTAAACTAAACAAAGGCATTGAATACGAATCAGGACCAAGATTGTGGTGGCCTGATCAATATGATAGTTTTACACCATGCCAAAGCATGTAGCAAAGATGCCACTTCCTCATGGACTGACGGATATGATGAGTGGATCCGCAGTGCTATCAGCAGCTCCGGCAGTTTGGTTAAATGGGATTCCTGTCATGCATGGAGATTCACTCAAAGTCCCATGTGATGGTGGGCTTCTGGGTCCTGCTGGTCCAGCCACAGCAAGAGGTCTTGCAGGAGTAACAACAGATTCTGTATTTCCCATATTGCAGAATACAGCAACCTGCCATACATATCAGAAACTGTTTTAGAGTATGCACTACTTGGTTTAATGCATGACTTTCCATCTTTTACATACTTTGAAACCATAAAACGGGCATTCAAAGAACTAGAATAACATTCTAATAACCTACAATGCAGCTTCTTCTACTGGAAGGGCATAGAGCATTATACTACCTCCGTCTTTATATAATAAGCAACATCTATATTGTAGTTTAGTTTTTGTACAAAAAAACATAGGTCTCTTTCTTAGCAAGTTACACTCTTGATGATATAATTATAAGAATCCCAATGATACACTTAGTAGGAGAAGTAAGAAATAAATTATGAAAGATGGCAAAGGTAGTTTAGCCATATTTCCTGAAAATAACTACAAAATCAATGCAGCTAGTTATTTTAAATGGTATACAATTATACATAAAAACATAGATACACATAATGAACGCCTTAACTGGTCAATGTAACTGTATCCATTGGAGGAGTGATAAATAAATTTCATTCACAAATGTTTTAAAAAATTCTCTATCACAAAGAGGGCATTTTGGTGTTTCATGTAAGATGTAACAAGGGGAGCATTTTAGTATAAATTTTGCTAAATTCGGGGATTTATTAGATTTTTTTTAAAAAAAACTTACCCTATATATTGCGCTAGGGTGCATATAGATCAAGTTAAAATAATGAGTAGCTAATATTTTCTTATATTGACTCATGTAAGGTCTAAGGTATTAAATACTCTCCATTCACAAATTCCAAAAGTAGCAAACAATTTTTAAGGAGCCATGAATATTCACGAGTATTAAGAAAGATCTTATGTTCAAAACCATTAATGCCAAAATAATCAATAACAACTAGGGGTGGCAATTCGGGTCAGTGGGTCAGGTTCGGGTCAGATTTCGGGTTATACTTAAAAACAATAAAAAAAATAGTGTAAAACTAAATATTATTACGAAATATGAAATTTTGGTCAAATCGGGTTATTCGGGGTCGGGTCGGGTTCGGGTTTCTCTCAGTAACTTCGGGTCGGGTTTGTTCGGGTTATCGGGTCGGGTCAGGGATTGCCAGCCCTAATAACAACACACCCAACTTGAGCAACCTAAGACCTGAATATGTTTACTTAGCTACCGAAGAATATACTACTAGCTTTGCTGTCCTCGATTATAATAACAAGAAACAAGTAGAAAGACATCAAGATTAACTAGGGATAAGAAGACAACACACTTGAGGAGAACATTAGCTCAATAAGCATTTTAAACAATAAATATCTGCCGCATTGGAAACTCAATTTTTAAGTTGCAGGCTGAAATCAGTGTTTATCATATGATTATATATTGACATTGCCCTGGACTCTAATAGAACACTCGATATCTGCTCAGTCATCAACTACATAGTCAAAACATAATATCCACCCGTCTAAGAGCATTTAGACTTAGCGTTTCTTTAACAAAAATTAATTAGTCCATGATTTATAACAACTGTAAAACTCGGTAGAAAAATATAAAATTGGCCTGTGAGAGATGGACAGATGTCAAACCTGTACTGGAGACGCAGCAGTTAAGAGACCGGCAACACCACCTCCTAAAATACGGCCATCAGGATCTTTTAAAGAAACAGTTAAACCGCCACTCCAACTACGTGGACCACTGCCGCCATCTAAAAGCCTGAATGAACCTGAGAGTGACACAATTTCGAAACGTCCCTGCAGTAGAGAGCAGGATAAATATAACAGAACAGAAAACCAAGAAGAAGATTTTAGTAAGAATCGTTAATGTAGCACAGTCTTCATCTTCTGCCTACTCATGACATGGTAAATTATAAACCAGACAAACTAAAATTCGAAAAGGCACGCCACATTTGTAAAACATTGTTGCCTGAGCTGTGCAATTACACAAGGATGAAGATCACTTATCCTTATGGAATGCAGGATTATCAGAATTAATACTTAAGTAGCCAATGAAATTGTAAGATGAAACCATGCATGTTTTGTCTTAGTTTACTATATGCGTACAATGTAATCTAATCAATAAGGGTGTATTGCATTATTGGTATTAAATAAAATAAATCAATATTTTCAGAGTATATTACGATTTGAATCATTATAGACTGTAGTGTAAACCTAAAAATTGCATTATAGGTAACATATCCATAATTAATACCCTTGAACCTTAAAGCAAGCACCTTATGTATAATGAACATGTGATGTACAAATCATCCAAATTTTGTCAATGTGCAAAGGTAACTATCTTATTAAATCTAAAAAGCAGCTTCAACCCTTCTCAATAATAATGGTTAAAAGGCAATTTAGAAATTAGTTACTTATCATACACACCCATTACATATCCACTTCTAAATGATGCATGTAACGCATATAAATGTGGCAACAAACCTCATATGTTGATAAGTCACCAGGCAACACTACTGGACGAATTGTCGCACTCGATATAGATCCGATAGCAGAATTAATGAAGATAACACTAGCACCACTTTGGGTAAGTGACATGATTTTAGAGGATATATCCTGCAACAATAAAAAAAAAAAAGGTATGGAAGTCAAAAAAAACAAATTAAGCTTGACCAAAAGGCTCGACTTAATGTAGAATAATAATTTATCTGGTTTAGGTTTGAGAACAACCAGGAAAAACTACAATACAGCACAATTCCGCCTGCCTACCCTGATGACACATATTGCGCGCAAACATGAAGTGAAAACAACTTGTTCAAATATATGAACCACAAAGCCATTCATATCAAACTTGGATCCAACAAGTAAAGAAGCAAAAGTTAAAAAATAAAGACAGCTTACATCGTCAAAATCAAGAATTTGGATTCTCAGTAATTATATCACCTAATGCTCATGATGAATTAAATTGGCAGTTGAGATATGTCTGTTCTGCAATAATTTTGTAGAATGACAACTTTTGTGATTAAGTTTTGGAAGGAAGAACTATAATTACAACATGAATCCACCTACCTAGGCTTATAACACATTGCATGCAGACATGAAGAGAAAAAAAAGACTTGTTAAAATCTGGATTATGCAGACATTCATATCCAACTTGGACATAGTAAGCGAAGAAGCTAATCATAAACAAGGACAAACTTAACAGCATGGAAAACAAAGAAGAAGAGATGACATTCTTCAGCTTCAATTTGTGCTACTTGTTGGGAAGAAGAAATAATGCTACTGCTTTATATTAGAATAAGAGGAAAATATAAAGGCTATGACTAGCTTGCCTTTTTACTGATTTCATTTCTTCTTGCTTTTCATCAAGTTACAAGAAGCATATATATAGCAAACCAAAATATAACTGACGGGAATGCCAACAGCTTGGCACATGAAAAGCTTTCAACGGTTAACTAATATAATGTCCACTTATCACACACACTAATTACATTAAGTTGTGACCTTTAGAATTACTTTATTCAATACCACAGACAAGCGAAACATGTTTCACATTGGGAGAAAAGAGGAGCAAATAATATAGCTTATGCAACTGCAAATAAAAAAGGATACATTTCTTCAGCAATAACTATTAAATCTATGGTATTTCGCTTAACTAATCTAAAACTAACTCACGTAAAACGTAAGCAAAATATCCTGATTAGTTCAAAGGTAAATTAAGAATGTTTGACAAACAAACCCAAAAACATGACATCTACTCATATATTATTATAACAATTTGCCCAAGTTTTTTGTTCCACCTAGAAGCAGATCATTACTTATTAAACATGATGCAATAGTTGTTTTTGCAAAGTAAAACATGGACATTAAGGAGGATATCATAAGACTATTTGACAACTTAATTATCTACAAAACATATGTATACATGTATCACATGATGGAGATCCACCAATTTGCCATTGCAAGAGGAAGAATATGGAATTGAATGATGTATAAGCAGAGAAGACATAGTACTCGATATGTCGATATCAATTCTGAATTCATATGCCAAGCAGCCAACAGCATCTAGTCTCATTTACTCAAAAAGATAAGAACCACATGCATTCTTATCATGTAAAAGACTAGTTTAATAACACCAACATAGCAGATAACAAGAGAGGAATATTGCACACAAAATAGTATGTACAAATCTTACACAATAACTAGAAGAATATAAGAGGAATAATAAATTCCAGGGGGAAAAAATTTTAGTTCAATCAATTCCCCAATGTTCTGCATTTAAAATTGAAATTTTGCCGCATTTGATGATTGATATGAATATAGACCCATTTATAATTACCATCATCAAAAGAGTTAAGAAACTCGAGTTAAAAAAATTCTCAATTATTAATCTGAAATAAATTAGTTTTTAATCTATATAATCATATGTTTTAATAGTTAAATTTATTTCACCAGCCATACACCTAAATCACATACATATATCACAAGGTAAAACAACACTAGATACATCGAAATTAACAGCAGCAACTCTTTAACAAATTTTGCTAGCATGTCTCAAGAGGTCCAAATGTAGATAGCTTTCCTAAATCTACCATTAATTAGTCATCATCAACTATATTTAATCGATTCTTTGAAAGCAAAATGAAGATGAGTAATTACCTCTCCAGTATTAACAATAATTACATCTCCATTAAGGCCGCCACAAAGTGCAGGATTTCCTGCAATTAAAATATCAAATAAGCAAGTGCAACTTCGAAATCTTACTGCATGAAGATGGTTCTACAAAAATAAAATAATAACAAAAAAAAAAAAAAAAAAAAAAAGGAGCAATTGATGTAAATAGACAGAACTTAGGATGAATGTGCGAAAAAAAAAAGACTCAACTATGAAGGATGTTCACAAACCTAGCATCGGTAAGTCTATTTTTGTTAACATGGTGCATTATTAAGGCGTTCTTACTTCACAAATTCATTCTATATACGCCATTTTTATCTATAAAAACCATATATTAACATGTTAATTTGAAAAAAAGAGGAACAAAAAACCATCATTCATATAATTAGCATAACTACAAATACAGTCAATAGCTTTCTAGTTTAAAACCGTGGTTAGTATAATTTTCAAAAGCGAGGATGATGGAGAAAAGGTAGCATATATGTTAAAAACGGAACTGCGGGAACAAAAACAGTAAGAACAAAGTTACCGAAAAATAGACTGAGTCGCGGACTATGTCGCTTTCTTTAGAACATTCACGGCACTGCCCTGAAATGGTGCAAGCAGTTCGTACTAAACCGGATGTTCCCCAGGATAAAACAGCCTTTCTCTATTGAAATTATACCGGTGGAACTGCACAAAACCACCGGGCAACTAAACACCCAAAAAGAAAAGAAACTGCTCGAGGGTTTTGTTTTTGTGAGGAAAAATAGAGAGGAGAAGAAGATTGCTGTTCGTATTTTTTGTGTATCAAAAACAGGAAATCAACACGCCTTTTATAGGAAAAATTGCAACGTAACTGCTGCTGTTTAATTAGGCACTAATCACGCAATTAAAACGGTCATAAGTTGAACGTTCAAAACGGTTACAGAAGATTAATGCGTGGCAAAACGTTTAGCAAAAAATCAGGTAAAACGTTTGCATGATTAACGCTCCATTAATCAGTTTTGAATAAAAACGGTCAAATGCAATCAGTCAAAAACGTTTAGCAAAAATCAAGGAACTAATCACGCAATTAGCCTTGTCCAAAAAATAAGTTTATTTAATAAACCCGACCCGACCCGGCTCGGTTCGGCGCGCGTGTGTGATAGATGGTTTACCATATAGGTCCTCCCTCTCCACAAAATGTGGGTAGCCCAAGGGCCACACCCCTTTAGCCCACTCTCTATATTATAAAGAGAGTAAAACTCTCATTTCCCACCAATGTGGGACTTTGAGTTTTTCACAAAATTCACACACTACACACTACACACTTGTTGTTCCAACAATATATATAAAAGTGCTTGTGAAAAAGGGAGTTAAGGGTCAATGGCTTAAAGAAGAAGATCAAAGGCAAGAAGAAGGGCAAATATGTAACTTTCCCTAATTCAGGAGAATCTTAAACTGATATTGCAACATAACCTCTTAATCTACAGAACATATTGAATAAGTCAATCATAACCAATCCAATAAGTATATATACTAGTACTAGATATCATATACTAGTACTCCATTTCTTTTTGTCCTGCGACAAATATAATTAACATCAGAAATCAAAAGCTGAAAATCATATATATGCATACCCTGACGCACTCTCCCACCACCCCGGGGACGTCCTCTGACCCTACTTCGTGATCCACCACCCTGTTGCTGTTGTGGTTGCAGCTGCTGCTGGTCCTCCTGTTGCGGCTGCGGTGGAGGCGGCTGCTGCTCCTCCTGAAGATGCGGTGGTTGTTGCAGTAGCGATGGTTGCTGCACCTCCTGAAGAGGTGGCTGTTGCGGTTGTTGTTGCACCTCTTGAAGAGGCGGATGTTGCGGCAGCGGTGACTGCCCCTGCTTCTGAGGAGGAGGTTGTTGCTGCAGTTGAGGAGCAGTCTGTTGTTGCTGCAGTTGAGGAGCAGTCTGTTGTTGCTGCAGTTGAGGAGCAGTCTGTTGCTGCAGCAGTGTCGGCAGCGGCGGCTGCTCCTGCTGAAAAAAACTCTGTTGTTGCTGCAATTGAGGAGCAGTCTGTTGCTGCTGCAGCGGCGGCTGCTCCTGCTGAAAAAAACTCTGTTGTTGCTGCAGTTGAGGAGCAGTCTGTTGCTGCTGCAGCGTCGGCAGCGGCAGCTGCTCCTGTTGAAGAAAACTCTGTTGTTGCTGCAGTTGAGGAGCAGTCTGTTGCTGCTGCAGCATCGGCAGCGGTGGCTGCTCCTGCTGAAGAAAACTCTGATGTAGTTGTTGCTGGTGCTGCATGAGATGGTAAGGAGGCAGTTGGCGAAACTGTATCCTTTGATGTTGCTGCGGCGGCGGAGTGGCAATGGTGACACCAGGAGAAGCAAAAGAGAGAGGAATAGCCATTGATGAAAATTCAGGGCCATTCTTTCTAGGCCTACCTCTCCTCTTCCTTGATGACTCCCCATTGCCATTGCCATTACCACTGCCACTGCCACTGCCACGTCCCCTACCATTGACACGGCCTCTTCCACTGTCACCGCCACGGCCATTGCCATTGCCACGTCCACTGCCAATACCGGAAACCGGCCTGGACACGGCGATTCCTTCCGAGCCAGCAACAACAGGAATGTTCTGTGTCACCGCCTGCGGAGGCTCCGTTGGTGGATTTTGCATTCCTCCACCGTCAACGCCGCCGCTGCTGCCACCAACGTTAGTCATTTCACTTCCTAACATTTCTTTTTCACTGCCGTTATTTTATTCTTAAATTCCCTGCAAAAATTAAGTAAAAAAAAAATTAATTAATTTTAATTCAATCCATTAAAATTAAGTAAAAAAAAATTAATTAATTTTAATTCAATCCATTAATAAATTAATTCTACAGAACACAACTAAATGATCTTACATGTCAAATTTTTTGATTTTTTTTTTTAAAAAAAAATTCACTCCTGAGATTTAGTAAAAAAAAATTAAATAATTTTAATTTAATCCATTAATTCCACAGATAATTAAGAACAAAAATAAATGATCTTACATGTCAAATTTTTTGAATTTTTTTTTTTTAAATTCACTCCTGAGATTTAGTAAAAAAAAAATAATAATAATTATAATTTAATCCATTAATTCCACAGATAATTAAGAACAAAAATAAATTATCTTACAAGTAAAAAACTTTATTTTTTTTAAAAAAAAAAAAATATAGAATCCACTCCTGAAATTTAGTAAATTTTACAGTAAGCGAGTAAATGAGTGAGTGAGTACAATTAAAACCCTAACTACCTCATGTAAGAAATTTTTTTACTAAAATACAGCATACCAGATAATTCTGCTGATTTTACTGGCGATTTTTATTTTATTTTTTTCATGATCAACCAGAAAAATCGCAGAATTTGTCGAATTTCAATGTAATTACTTGTAATTCCATGATGAAAATAAAAATTAGGAATTTTTTTTTTTTACCAATAATTAAGAATCAAACAACAATAGAGGAATTTTGAAAACAAAATAAAAACTCACCAAAAATAAGGGAGAAATGATGACAACAATGAGAGAGATAAAAAAAATAGCAGAGAATTGAGATTATATATAGAAGATGACTGAGAAAAAAATTGAATTAAATTCAATTATCATTTGTATTATTGTTGGTGTAATTGATTATTGTATTCTGATTTATACCTATTATAGATATATTATACTATCATTGTGATTTCTTTCCTTAACTATAATATTTAAGAAAATCTTTTTTTTTTTTTTAAACGGGTCTGAGCCACACCCGTCACAACTGTCTATTTTATACTATCAAGGAGATTCCACCTTAAAATCATATGCCAATAAAAAAGTAGTCCCTTAGCCTTATAATGTGAACACAACTTTTTTATTTCTTCAATGTGGGATACACATCCTAATACTAACTCTCACTTATAAACTCAACTAATGTGGGACAACACATCACTTACTTGTAGATTTTCGCTCAACATCTTTTTTTTCTTAGGTGTTTTGGCTGTCAGCCTGTCATTGTAAAAATATAAGACATTAAATCACTAATTATTTATATTTTTTTAAAAAAGTAACTACTAAATTCATGTTTTTTTAGGACTACTAAATTCATGTTCTTTTCATCTTACTTATGCTGGTATGACTTTGTTTTATTAAATTCAAATTAATTTTACTAAATTTAAATTAATTTTAATAATTCTCAATTATATTTCTTTTATAAAATTACTGATTTTTACCAACTAAAATTATTTTTATTAAATTGGATTATATATACTTAACTAGAGTTATTTTTATTGCACTGAAATTATTTTTACTTAATTATTTTTTATAGGATGAAGAGAGCAAAACCTTAAGTATTTATTACTCTGTAAATAATTTAACGTGTCATAATTTCATTTGCTTTCTCATAAAAATTAATTTATCTAAGGGGACAAAGATCATCTACTTCTCGATTCTCACTGTATAAATAATTGTTGAGGTTTTTAATATTGTTCGAAAAATTATAAAAATAATTTTGATAAAATACTAGATAATCTATCCCTGAGTAAATTATATTCTCGGATTTTAAAGCTATTTGCAATTAAAAAAAATCTTTTAAATATAATTATAAAAAAATTGGCATTACTGAAAGTATAAATGATTAATAATCACAATCGTTAATTAACTTTGACATGAAATACAATGGGCCCTTGCCCGCCCAAACAAAGAATTCACAGTAAATTTTGAAATTTTAATTCCTATCCATGTATCAACTTTATTTAGTAATATAAACCATGTATTCACAATAATTTTTAAAATTTGCTAAAAGTGTCTTATTAACAACTTTATATTTTTTAACAAATGAGTGTAATACAAATGAGGTAAATGTTTTTTGTAAGAAAGAAAAAGTAACAATGAACTAAAAGAATAATTAAGGAGAACTTATGAACAATTCTTAAAATTTAGGGAGTAAAAATAAATAAATAAATAAAGGAGAGAAACTAAAGTGATGTAGAAGGGAAGGAAAAAAGTGGTTTTTGCTTAATTGTTAGGATTTATTCACATTTGCTACCACCTAAAAAACGCATTGCTTCAAATTCGCTACCGTTTTTTTTTTTTTAAAAAAAATAAGTATTTTTTTTTAGAAAAAAAAAAAGTCATCCCACTGTCACCCCTCCCCCTCCCCGCTGCCGGCGGCCGGCACCAAAAGATTCGGCCGGCGCTAGCGACCTCACCCCCCTCCCTTTTCTCCACCCACGAAGCCAACCCCCCTCCATTTCCACCGCCCACGAAGCCAACCCCACCACCTACGAAGCCCACCCTCATCGAAATCAGCCCCCCTCCCCGTTACCCCCCATCGTAAGCGACCCCCCTTCCCTTCCCCCACCCAAAAACCGACACTCCTAACCTTAAACCACCCGCCCGAAACCACTCTTAACAAGTTTTAGGGTTTCGCTCATGGTGGTTTTTGGGTGGTGGTTTAGGGTTAGGGGTGGTCGAAAATGGTAGGAGAAGGTGGAGGGAACTGGAAGGGGGGCTGAATTCCGCGGGGGTTGGTTTCGATGGATGGGGGAAAGGGAGGGGGGTTAGCTTCGTGGATGGGGGAAAGGGGGGGTGGGGTCGCCGGCGTCAGCCGTTGTTTTGGGCATTGGCCGTCGGCAGGGGGGAGGGGGAGGGTGGCAGTTGAGGGGAGGGGGTGGTAGTGGGGTGGTTGGACGGTGGTTCGGCCCCACTGACGGAAATTGTAACGGTGTAAGGCACGGGGTAGTAATTTCTAATAAACTCTGTTTAGGGTGGTAGCAAAGTAAAAAAAATTTAAAAAACGGTAGAGAATCTAAAGCGAGGTGTTTTAGGTGGTAGCAAATGTGAAAACATCCTAATTGTTATATATCAGATATTTCAAATGTCATATATCATGTGAGTTCTACTCAATTATTGTTGTTATAGAAAATAAGTAAGAAAAAAAATTGAAATGAAAACTTATTTTGGTAGTTTTACTTTAAAGATGAGAGAGAGTATGTAAGAAATTTATACAATTGGGTCCTAGTTTTCAAAACAACATGGGTCCCATAAATTGGCTAGTTATAAACTTATAATACTTATGAATAATATATGTTGGTAGTACAAAGAACTAAATTACGAAGAATAAGTGAGTAAATTAGAAATAAAATAGATGAAAACGAAATCATTCCTCTTATTTTTACCTACACTTATATAGGTCCTTGATCTACCTTTACAACAATTAATTGAATTGGTTTAGAGTTAAGAATAATCCTGGATGACAAATTTCAAATTAAAGTCAAGTACATTAGTTATATTTAATCTGATAAGGTTTAGGGTGGGATCACCATAAAACTATTTTGAGAGACAAATGTTGTTAAATAAATCCACCTTTTACATGGAGGAAAATATGTCAGGTACACAATAAACCCCAGCTTCAAGTAATGGACATGGAGGAAACATGCATGTTAAGCAAAGGTTTGAAAGAGAATATGAGATAGAACCTTAAGTAGGGAAATTTACCTTAGACCTAAGGCAATTCAAATAATCCATCCTTTAATTTGAGAATTAGAAAAATACTCAAGAGACATCAAATTGTGTAAATTAATATTATGGAAGTAACCCTAAACTAATGATGGAATCTACAAAATATATAAAGCTAGATAAGTCCATAATGAATTCTAAACTTATTTTAGAACTTTAATTATTAAAATCTAAAAATTTCAAGGGAATCTTATCATAATATAACACAAAAATCCTGTGTCGGGTAGCTAGGTTAGAACGAAAAAAGACGTGTAATGCAGTACTAAAGCTAGTTCCACATTAATTACCAATGAATTGCGGAATCCTTTATAAGTAAAAATCTACTAATGTTTTGGAAATCTGCCTCGAAGCCCACATAAAAAAAATCTACAGCATTTGTATGCTTGAAATCCAGGTAAAATACACACACGTGAATATACCATACATACACAACTACGCGTCATTCTCTCCTTTCCAAAGTAAAAAAAAAAAATAAAAAAATAAATAAATAAATGTCATCAAGTTCACAACAAGTCATATATATATAAGTTTATCTGGATATTTCGAACATAAAAAATAGCTTGTTAGCAACAAAGACATCACTATTTTTTTATTTGTTAGTCTTAATTTTACATAACAAATACAATACGAGAAGCTAACACCTCGTATATAACTTAAGAGCATCTAAATGACATTGGAGAAATTAAACTATATAGTTTTGCACACCAACTTGGTCGAAGTTGAAACCATTGTCCATCAATAAATTTGAGATATACAAAGTGATCAAACTGATCACTTATTAGATTATTAGTTCCTCCATCCCTAAATTACATTCCTGTTTTTCTTTTTGGGGTTTCAAAATTAGATTCTTACTTTCCTTTTTAGTAAGTGAATTTTTACAAAATTATCCTTCTTCTCCAAATTTATTCCCCAAAATGTCCCCAAATTATCCCTAAATCAGTGAGATGTGGCATTACTTTAATTACTTTTCCGTTTGGCAATTAATAGTTGCACAAAATACTTTTCCGTTTGGCAATTAATAGTGGGAGGTGTTAAATACAGCCAAAAAAAATTATCAAAACCGCCAACTTTTTAAGCAAAATGTCATTATTGCCCTTACTAAAATACTAAACCCAAACCCATCTTTCTCCTCTTTCTTTTTTCTCTCTCATCAACAACCCCTCAAGATCCCCAAAAACAGCCACCACCACCACCACAGAGACAACCGACGTACCAGTCAGCGGCGTTCAAGAGGTGGTGGCTCGTACATGGGTGACGGTGGTTGATGGTGGGGACATGGCTGGAAACCGGGGAGAAGGAGGTAAATTTGCCGATTAGCTTTTTGTTTTGAATTTAAGTTTTTTTAAAAAAAAAAAAAATCCGGTGGCTAGTAACCGGCGCTCAAAACCGGTTGACCGCCACCGGTAACCGACCGTAAAAACCGGTTGACCGTGCTGGTCAATCGGTTTGACCGCCGGTTACCGATGGCGGCCAACCGGTTTTGAGCGTCATTAGCCAGCAATTTTTTTTTTTAAAAAAAAACTTATTTTTTTTATTCAGAACTTATTCTAATTAATTGTTATTATTATTACAAAATAATTGTAATTAATTTTATTACTATTGTTGTAGATAATTATATTGATTGACTGTTATTATTCTTGGCAATCTGGTGTAGATGGTGGTGGTTGACGCGGTGGTTGTGGGTTTGTAGTGGTCGACATGGTGGCGTGGGTGATACCGGTTGTGTGATTGGTGGTGGTTGATGTGGTTGCTTAAGAAGTGATGGATGGAAATCATGGAATGAAGTTAAGAGAAAGAATATGGGGAAGATTTTAGTAAGGGCAATGTTGTCCCTTTACTTGAAATGTTGGCGGTTTGATAAATTTTGTTGGCGGTATTTAGCAATTCACTTAATAGTTGCACAGAAACCATAATTTGATTGGTCCATGTGAACAACTGCAATCCATATGCAGTACAATAAATGAATTTGATTGGTCCTTTTATTTTTCATAAACAAATTTGATATGCCTTTTTTCTTTTCAAAGGATTGATGACATGTGCAAGCATTTAATATCATTCTCTTTTATTTTGTTCAAATATAACAATAAATGTCTTGAATTCTCATTGTACTTTCTAATCATGGTTTTAAGGTTACTCCAAGTTCCTTATTTCCCGTTTAAGTTTAGATATAAGAATGTAATTTAGGGACGGAAAGGAGTATGAATTTATGAGTTTTTTAATGAAAAATTTACAAGACATCATGGTTCTTAAAGGACTCTCACTCATGGTAAAAAAATATGTCAATGAGGAGAAATTCAAAATAAAAACCCAAAAACATGTATCTCACTCTGTTTCGGGGTTTTCTAGATGTCCTGAGGGAGAGTTACAATTCCGAGACTGGAACCGGA